CATGGGGGCGCAGGACCGGCCGCAGTGCCACTTCGACATCGAGATCAACCGGGAGCCGGGTGAGCGGCGGGGGCGGCGGGGGCGGGGGCGGCCCTCCTCGGGAAAGCCCGGACAGCGCGGCTGTTCTCCTCCCGACCCGGGGCGGGGGCGGCGGGCGGCGCCTCTGGCGGCCTCGGCCCTCCGATGGGGCGGCTTGCTCCGCACCGTCAGGGCGCGGTCGCGCGCTCTGCATGTCCTAGTCCCTGTGTGCGTTAGCCCCGCTCCTGTTTCCCGTGAAGAATCCCCCGGATTTCTTGTTCCGGGGAAACGCCTTGGGCAGCGCCTGGTGTGAAGGGTACACCGGGCCTGCTCACCTGCGGAAGAGCAACCTGTGTGCGCTTACCTGGTCTCCCTCGCGGGGAGCCCCGCCTTCCGTTAGCGGGCGTTCCCTGCAAAGAAGGTGCCGTCTGGGGGAGCTGTGCCGTTCTTGGCAGTGGGGCGGGCACGGCTCCAAGCGTTTTCTCACCTCCTTTTGATAACGTGCGACGAGTTTCAGTCGGAGGCACACATACTGCGCCTCTGGGTGCGACATCCTGCCCTGCAGCTTCGTACCAGAGCCTTTCACTCTTCCCGGCTCTGGAGATAACGAGTAAAGCAAGGCCGCCTTTACAGTTCATAACCTGTTGGGAAAATGAATGCACAGGCGCACAGCAGGAGTACTCTGAGTAAGTTGGTGAGACAAGGCCATTTGGCGAAGACGACATCCAAGCAGTGAGGTGTGTTTATAGTTTGGGAAGAGCATTCAGAGTATTCCCAGTAGAGAGAAATTACTTAGCAGAGGCCTGAGCCAGACTGTATTTGTGTTTTTGTTGGTTTTTGGTTTTGGAGCGGCCAGGAGCCAGATGGGGCTGGAGTTGGCGAAGGGAAGAGAATTAGTAAGGGAAAGGCCTGTAGGACTTGGACTCCACGAGATAGGTTAAAGGGTTTTGAGCGAATATGCTTGGGAGAGTTGCTGCCTCTTCTCTTTTTTCCATATGCTGAGAATTGAATCCAGGACCTCGCAGGCTAGGCAAGCATTCTACCATTGAGCCGCCACCCCCAGGCCCACCTTCTCATTTTTTTTTTTTTTTTTAAATATTTTGAACATTGCTGGACTCTAATCCTTATTCAGTAGTGAACCCTTGGCCCAGATAACAACGTTCATGTTCTTAAATATTTAAAGAGGCCTATGAAAGATAGAAATAAAACAAAGGCTTGTTGCCATGTTTAGTACTTCTTTCATAGTATATATTCACATCCTAGATTTGTAAATAACCGGTTTGTGAAAAATCTCCAAAATATGTTTGGTAAATGTGGAGTGAACTTCAGCCCTCAACATCTAGAAATAATCTGTGTAGAAGTGACTAGCACTCCTAACTGCTGAATCATGTGTGAAACAAAGAATGCTGCCATTGTTTAGGTTGAATCAGGTGATAATTGTCAAATTCATAGGGTTTAATCTTATTTAATACTACTGGTCACTTCAGTCTATTGTTTTAACTAGCCCTCAGTTTGTACCAACTTTAAGGATCACTTCGATGGTAAGAAGTGAAATGTCCTGCTTTGTAGGATTTAACCATTATCCAGGTAATACTCTTGACTTCTTGGATACTTAATGTAAATACAGAATAGTATCTTTGATTTACTTTGATTAGCAAAGGTCATCTGAGTGGTTATGTTATTCACATTGATGAGAGATGAAGGGGTTTTTTTTGGTGCTAGGAATTGAACTCATGACGTCACACAACCAGGCAGGCGCTGTGCCATTGAGCTATATCCGAGGCCCTTAGAGAGATGAAGTATTGATAAAAGTTGAGTTGAATACTGTGCATATGTGTTCTTTCCCATTACCAGCAACATGAGTGTATATATTTTATGGTAGACAGTTCAACTTTTGAATTATAAAGGCACTGAATGAGTGCAAGTACATATTACAAGAGGAAAAGTCTTTAAATTATATATAAATTTTTCTCTGAAAGTAAGATGGCTTCTGTTTTAAATAATTCTAGGGCTGTTCATTTATAAACTTCTTAGGTTTTTATTTCTTTAATAGATACAGGAGTATTGGTATTGTCTTTTCCCCTTGGATGAGTTTTGGTGGTTAACGGCTTTGAAGAGATTGGTGCATTTTACCTAAGTTGTCAATTATTAGAGTTGTTTGCCATAATCTATAGCAGTGACTCCTCTTTCATTCCTGATACTGATAATTTGTACTTGTTGTCTTCTCTTTCCTTGGTCTGTCTAGAACAGTGATGGTGAAACTTTCAGAGTTTTCAATGATAACAGCTGGCTGTGGGCATGCATGCCATAGGTTCCCATCACTGATGTAGAGGTTTATCAGTTTTATCTTCAGATTTTGATCTCATTGAGTTTTTCTCCTATTGTTTTTCTGTTTTCAATGTCATTAATTTCTATTTTTTACTATTGTTTTCTTTTTTTGTTTGTTTGTTTTCTGGTTCCGGGAATTGAACTCAGGACTTTGCACTTGCCAGTCAGGCGCTGTGCTGCTGAGCTAAATCCCCAGCCCTTTACCATTGTTTTCTAATGCTTGCTTTGCTCCTTTTCCAGTTCCTACCTTCTGTCTGTCTGCCTGTCCATCCATCCTTCTATCCTTCACAGTATTGGGGAGTGAACCTAGGGTCTTCACAGTAAGCTACATCCCAGCCCCTCCTGTCTGTCTGTCTGTCTGTCTATTTTTTAGGTGTTTTTGAGTCAGGTCTCATTCTCATTCAGGCTGGCTTCAAACTCATAGCAGTCTTCCTACCGCAGCCTCCCAAGTGCTGGGATTACAGGCATGCACTATCATACCTGGTTCTCCAGCCCTTTCTGTGTGTGTGTATGCAGTTCAGGCTGGCCTTGAGCTCACTTTGTAGCCCAGGCTGGTCTCAAACTAGCCACAATCCTCCTGCCTCAGCCTCCCGAGAGCTGAGATTGCAGGCGTGCGCCACCCCTCCTGGCTGTCCAGCCCTTTTAAAACTTCTTTTATTTTAATTTACTTTATTTTATTTTTATTTTGAGTGAGTTTCTCACCTAGTTGCCCAGGCTTCTGCATCAGCTTCCCTTGGTGCTGGGATTATACGCCTGCACACTGCACCTGGCTTTCCCCCCACCAAGTTTCTTAAAGTGAAAACTTAGATCACTGACTTGCTACCTTTCTTTTGTAATATAGCATTTAATTATATTAAATATAGAGGTAGGTTAAGATAGAGTCCACAAATTTTGATGTGTTCATTTTTTTCAGTTCAAAATATTTCTAATATTCCTTAATACTTAGTCTTTGATTCCTGAATTATTTAGAAGTGTTTAACATCTTTTATTTTCCTCGATTTCTTTTTTTTCATTTTGCCATGTTGGGGATCACCCAGGCCTTGTATATTTTAAGCAGGTGGTTTACCACTTAGCCACATCTCCAGCCCTGGAAATGTTCTACTTTCCAAGTAAAGGCTAGAGATCCCTTATCCAAAATACTTGAACCACAAGTTTCAGATTTCAGATTTTTTTATTTTAGAATATTTTTATAGACATAATAATATATCTTGGGGTTAGGTCCCAAATCTAAACACAAAATTCATTTCTGTTTCCTATGCATGTTATACATGTGTACTTACATGGCATTTTAAATTTACATACACATGATTTTGTATCATATTTTTAGTGTGCCAGTGTTTTGACTGCTACCTGTCATATGAGATTATGTGGTGTTCAAAGTTTTGGATTTCTTTTTTTTTGAACTGGGAATCGAGCTGACAACCTTTCGCTTGCCAGAAAGGCGTTATGCCACTGAGCTATATCCCCGGCCCCTTTGGATTTTTTTAGGGATGCTCCCTCTATACGTTACTTTTTCTAGTCTTTCTGCAGTGCTCTCTACTCTAGTTCAGATCCATTATGATGGGATGAAATACTTGATTTCCGTTCTTTTAAATTTGTTTGATATGGTCTATTTTGGTGTATTTCCCATATATTTGTAAAGAATCACCAATATTCTGTTGCTTTAGTGTAGGGTATTCTCTAAATGTCAACTAGATCAAGTTGGCTAATAGCGCATCTCATTTCTACATTGCTGATTTTCTACTTAACAGTAAGGCAGTATTGAAGTCTTTGGCCCTAATTGTGAATATGTCTTTTAGTTCTATGAGTTTTTCCTTCATTTATTTTGAGGCTGTTGTTGCTGGGGATATAGCTCAGCGGTGCTAGTGCCTGCCTGGCAAGCACAAGGTCCTGAGTTTGATTCCTGGTACCAAAAAAAAAAAAAAAAAAGATACACAACTATTTTGAGACTGTTTGTTGAGTGGGTACACGTTTAGGATTGTTGTCTTTGTAAATTGATCCTTTATCATAATGCAGTGATCTATTTTATTCCTGGTAATTTTCTTCAAGTTTAGTTTGGTGTGAGTGTAGCTACTCCAGCTTTTTCCCATCTGATTCTAAGCCTGACCCTGCTTAGCTTCTGAGATCATATGAGATCAGCCTTAGTCCATCTTTTCTGTTAGCATTACCATGTCGTGTAACTTTTAGTTCTTTCACTGTTAACCTATTTACATCATTTAAAGGGGTTTCTTGTAGATAGCAAATGTTGATGGGTCTTATTTTTATATCTTCTTATGAGCTGTTTTAGTTGCTATTTAACTATTTAACTATTTACATTTAATAAAACTATTGCTGTGTTTGGATTAGCGCACTTTTGTTGTTTTGGGTGTTTTGTTTTGTCTTTTGAGATGGGGTCTCACTGTGTTGTCCAAGCTGGCTGACCTCAAGCTCCTTTGCACACACATAATTTTTTGAACCATTTGAGGATATGTTATTTGTATTGTGACTCTCTAGCTCAGCATACTTCAGTGTGTAGCTCTTATGAATAAAGGTGTTTTCTTGGGCCAGGGATATAGCTTAGTGGCATAAGTACCTGCCTGGCAAGCACAAGGTCCTGAGTTCGATTCCGGGTACCAAAAAGAAAGTGTTTTCTTACATAATCACAATGCAGTTATCAGTTTTGTAAATTTACATTGATACAGTATGATTTTTATTTTTGTCATTTTGCCTAGAA